ACATACATACATACATACATACATACATACATACATACATACATACATACATACAAACATATAACGCATAGCCGTTAAATCGCTGGTCAAATTCTCGTACTGTTTACCTGTTCCATTGAAGCGTGGTCTGATTCTGCGCGATTGACCTCATTCAAACAATGCAATGCCCTGACTGGTCGCTTTCGCAACAACAACTAAACAACTATCACAGCTTACGGGTACTCACTTATCACATCATTCGAGTAGTGAGTTTGTGTTCAGTGGGTCACGTAGGCTTGGCCTACGGATTTGAAGCCTCGAAATATAGAATTCAGTAGTAAACGGAAGCCGTATCATGACGCTGAGACTGTCAAAAGAAGACCATAACAGGAGGGATATTGAACGGCTAAATGCTGGCGAGTCTGCTGAACATGAGGAAAATATTAATTATTTTTAAAGGCTTGCATGTCCCCACCATCTACAGTCTGCAGAGCAGGTTTCGCGCCACCAATGCGTTCAGTGGTCTCCCCGGAGCCGGAAGACCAAGGGCGACAAAATGCTGGCTCAGGATCGCCTCATGGTGCTCCAATACTGGATGGATCCGTTTCTAACAGCCGCTGAGACCACCAGGAGTACCGTCGGATGAACGGGACAGACGGGCCCAGAGTACCAGAACCGTACTGCGGATTTTGCACTTTACATGGCTTCCGTGCAGGTGACCCTCCTGCAGGCCAGTTCTGACCCCTCAGCACCGCCATGACCGGCTTCTGTGGGCAAAGGCTGACATGAAATGGAGGAGAAGACAATGGAAAAGGGTGCTATTTAACGACAAGTGCAAATTAATTTTGCGTTTATCCGCCAAATGGGTGCATCTGTGAGTGTCCCACAGACCTGACGAGCTACAAACTTCGAGGAGAGAGTCCATCGGGAAGGGTCAAGCGTTATGATTGGGGAGCCACCATCGCTCTAAACCAAAGAGCTGAACAAGTGTTCTTCCAGAAAGTAGATCTTGGACAAGGAAATGGGGTCACAGCTCAGAGCTACATTGAACAAGTTCAATTTGTGCAAATTGCTCATTTGGGCGTCTCTCAAGACTTTTGGCTATCACTCAAGGTGACAAATAGAAAATCGAGAGTCAGCTTTGAAAATGATGTTTCTGTCGTAACCTCCATAGGCCATGCTGTATTACCCACTGACATCTTTGTTGGCTGTGACAATTTGTTAGAATTATTCGCAGAAGTGGTCTCTGTACCCTGGGACTGCGTGGCTTCATGAAGACAGTTTCGGATAATTCGTTCCAATGCTCGGGCCAATTTTTGTACAGCTTGAACAGTTGGAGAGGCTGGCTTGACTCAATCCTTAAATGATGCCACCTAAAATAGCTATATTGAGTTGCTGCATTTTCTGTCCCAGTCTTTTGGCGGTCAGCAGTTGAATTTGTCGGTGGATATCGACCCAGAAGTTAGCTGCTTGTTGACTGGTACACATTCAAAACAGCAGTAGCAAGGCGACATATTTTGCTTGCACCTTTTGCTGTATATATATATATATATATATATATATATATATATATATATATATATATATATATAAAGAGAGAGAGAACAGAGAGTGGGAGAAGAGAGAGAGAGAGAGAGAGAGAGAGAGAGAGAGAGAGAGAGAGAGAGAGAGAGAGAGAGAGAGAGAGAGGGGGAGAGAGCATAAAACAAATTAAATAGAATAATATATATTCTAAGGAGGTAGTAGCTATGCTATTGCTATTTTACCTGTAGCATTTTTAGCGCGTTCTTTGAAATATGCACGTATCGTTGTTTTTAAAATTTATAAACACGATCGTGAGGGTGCATTTCGTCTGTTTCCGGCAATACCGTTAAGAAGCTACTTACGAGTGTTCCATCGAAGAATTCAAGGTCACATAACACACGTCCAACGTTTTGTGACGTTCCGAATGGGCGAGGACAGGCGATCATTGTGGACATGTTGGGTACGAGGAACTTGTCACAAATGCCCGCCAGATAGGAATGATGAATATACGTTCCATCTATTCTAGGGTAGCATAGTTCTGGAAGAATTGTTAAGTAGAACTAGTTTCACTCTTTCTATTGATCAGTCAACCCTTTTTACATCATAAATGCAATTTATCAAAACTCTGAAACGTTTATCCCATAATTTAATATTTTAATGTCCAAATTCAATCTCAAATTTCCAGCTATCTATCCCACAATTCCCATCAATCTATCTATCTATCTATCTATCTATCTATCTA